AAAAACAAATAATCCAGTTAATAAATGAGCAGAAGACGTGAATAGACATTTTTCCAATGAAGACATCCAGATGGCTAACAGACACATGAAAAGATGCTCAACATCACTCATCATCAAGGAAATACACATCAAAACTACAATGAGATACCACCTCACACCTGTCAGAATGGCTCAGACTAACAACACTGGAAACAAAAGATGTCAAGGAAGTGGAGAAGGGGGAACCTTCTTACACTGTTGGTAGGAATGCAAACTGGTGCAGCCACTCTGGAACACAGTATGGAGTTTGCTCAGAAGGTTAAAGATACAACTACCCTATGACCCAGCCATTACACTACTAGGTATTTTCCCAAAGGATGCAAAAATACTGCTTCAAAGGAATATATGCAGCCTGATGTTTACAGCAGCCTTATCAACAGTAGCCAAATTGTGGAAAGAACCCCATGTACATCAACTGATGAATGGAAAAAGAAGATATCACACACACACAGTGGAATATTATTCAGCCACCAAAATGAATGAAATCTTTGGGTGTTTGGCTGGCTCAGTCAGAAGAGCATGTGGACTTTTGATCTCAGGGTCCTGAGTTCGAGCCGCACGTGGGGTGTAGAGATTATTTAAATAAATAAATAACTTTTTTTTTTTTTAATGAAATTTGCTATTTGCAATGACGTGGATGGAGCTAGAATATATTATGCTAAGTGGAATAAGTCAGAGAAAGACACATACCATATGATTTCACTCATATGTGGAATTTAAGAAACACAACAAACGAAGAAAAAAAGAGAAACAGACCAAGAAACAGACTCTTACCTATAGAGAATGAACTGAGGGTTGCTGGATGGGATGTGGGTGGGTGATGGGTTAGATGGGTGATGGGTATTAAGGAGGGCACTTGTTGTGATGAGCATTGGGTGTTATATGTAAGTGATGAATCACTAAATTCTACTCCTGAAACTAATACTATACTGTATATAAACTAACCGGAATTTAAATAAAAACTTAACAAAAAAGAAAGCATATTATTTTCAACATACTTGTGAACCTTCTGGTGTTTTTTCTATTATTGATCTTGTTTCATTCCATAGTGGCTGGTTTGTATGATTTCAGTCTCTCTAAATTGCTTAAGTTGTTTTTTTGATCTAACATATAGTTCTGGAGAATGTGTCATGTGCAGTTTGTATTCTGCTCTTGGTGGTGGAGTGAGCTTTGTACGTCTGTTACATCTAATTCATTTATGATGTTGCTCAAGTCTTGCATTTTCTTATTCATCTCCTGTTTAATTGTTTAGTTCATTTATTGAAAGTGGGTTATTGATGACCCCATTATTTTAGAACTGTCTGTTTCTCCATTTATGTCATTTTTTACTACAGATATTTTGGAGCTGTGTTGTTAATGTGTTGTTTATAATTGTTGCACCTTCTTGATGAGTTGACCGTTTTATCAATGTCATCAATATGTCCTGTTTTTCTTTGTCTCTTCTAACCATTTTACTGATTTTGTCTGATGTCAGTATAGCCACGTCAGCTCTTTTTTCCATGGAATATCTTTCATTCTTTTAACATTTTTATGTCTGTGGATCTAAAGTGAGTGTCTGTACACTGCATATAATTGGATCAATTTTATTAATCCATTTTTCAGATCTCTACGTTTTATTAGTGACTAATTCATTTACATTTAAAGTGAGTACTGTATGTAAAGACATCTGCCATTGTTCTGTTTTCTGTATGTCTGAATTTTTTCTGTTCCTCATCTCCTACATCATTGCCTTCTTTTGTATTTAATGGATTGTTTTATAGTGTACTGTTTTGATTCCCTCTCTTAATTCCTTTTCCATATATTGTCATTTTCTTAGTGTCATCATCCTGGGGATTATATTTAACATCCTAAACTGAAAAGAGTCTAGGTTGAATTGATACAGTTTACTGTCAGAAGCATACAAAAATTGCTTCTATACAGATCTAGTTTCTTCTATGTTGTTGTCACAAATTGTATATATTCTGTGCTCATTAACATAAATTTATAATTATTTTACCCATTTTATTTTAAGTCATATGGGGGAAAAGTGGATTTATTTATTTATTTTTAAAAGTAGATTATATAACAAAAATATATAAAGCTGGCTCTTACATTTATCAGTGTAGTTACTTTTATTTCTTTATTTCTTTGTAAAGGTTTGAGTTAGTATCTAGTGTCCTTTCATTTAAACCTTAAAAACTCTAACATTTCTTGCCAGACAGGTTTACTAGCAACAAACTCCTCTTTCTTTTATCTGGGGATATCTTGATTTCCCTGCATTTTTGAAGATAATTTTGCTGGATATAGAATTCTTGCTTGACTGTTGTTTTCTTTCAGCACTTTAAATTTTTTTTTTTTTTCAACGTTTATTTATTTTTGGGACAGAGAGAGACAGAGCATGAATGGGGGAGGGGCAGAGAGAGAGGGAGACACAGAATTGGAAACAGGCTCTAGGCTCCGAGCCATCAGCCCAGAGCCTGACGCGGGGCTCGAAATCACGGACCGCGAGATCGTGACCTGGCCAAAGTTGGACGCTTAACCGACTGCGCCACCCAGGCGCCCCTTTCTTTCAGCACTTTAAAATATGTCATTCCACTGCCTTCTGACCCTCAATGTTTTTGCTTAGAAATAGGCTCTTGATCTTATTGAGGATTTCTGATGTATGATAAGTCAGTTTTCTGTTGTTTTCAAGATTCTTTGTCTTTTCAACGTTTATTATAACATGTCATGGTGTGGATCTCAATTTCTTACTTGGAGTTCTTAAATGTATAGATTCTTAAATTTCATCAGTTGGTTAGTTTGGAGCCATTATTTCTTTAAATATTCTTTCTGCCCCTTTCTCTACTTCCCTGGGACTTTCCTAATGTATATGTTGGTATGATTTATGGTGTCCCAAAAGTTGACTTTTTCATTGTTTGCTTCTTTTCCTCTACTTGATAATTTCAGTGGTCCTATCTTTAAGTTCACTGGTTCCTCTGCCTACTCAAATCTGCTGTTGAACCCTTGTACATTTTTACTTTTAGCTATTGTACTTTTCAGTACCAGAATTTCTATTTGGTTCCCTCTTTTTCCTTTTTGGTATGTTCTGTTTGTTAAGATATCATACTCCTCAGTTAGTTTTTGTCCATGGTTTCCTTGAGCACATTTAAGGCAATTTATTTAAAGTCTTTGTTTAATAAATCTAATACCTGGGTTTCCTCAGAGATTTTTCTGTCATTTTCTGTGAATAGGCCTTACTTTTTCTGTTTCTTAATATGCTTTGTAACTTTTTATTAAAAACTGGACATAATAAATATTACAGGGTTATAACTCTGGAAATCCGATTTCTCCCCTTCCAGGTTTGCTATTATTGCTTGCTGTGGGCTTCAGTCATCCATTTGTTTAGTGACTTTTCCAGACTGTTTTTACAAAGTCTGTATTCTTTGTCATGTGTGACCCCTGAAGTTCCTTTCCCATTATTATCTCATTGGTCAGCCAGTTAACAGTTCCCGGAATGCCAACATTTACTAGCTTCTCTCTTCATTAAACATTCCCCTGCTTGTTCCAAGTCTTTTCTTAGATTTCAGAGTTATGAAAAAGTTGCTTATGATAGTTTTTGCCTGCATAATAGTTATTTCAGTGGAAAGGTAGCTTCTTAGAGTTCCTTACTCTGCCATGTTTTTATGGCGTCACCTGGATTCTTTCTTACAGAACATGGTTCCTATATTCCCAGTTATTTATTGAAAGGTAAATTTTTATAAATAGACTACTGTATATATCAATGGTAATTCTGTAAAGCTATCTTTATACTTACTCTTATTTATTAGTTCTGATGTGATTATATGGTATCTATAAAGCCTAAATGTTTTACTTTGAAAGTAGAAGAAATATTACTTTTATAATTCTCCCAGGATTTCCCCTACTTGTACCTCAAAATTTAAACAGAATTTGTCCCATTTTAAAACTGTTCTGAAATGGCATGTTATCTGTGTTTCCTTATTTATTTATTAATGTTTGAGAGAGAGCACATGTGAGCAGGGGATAAGGACAGAGGGAACAAGAGAGAGAATCTTAAGCAGGCTCCACGCTCAGTGCGGAGCCTGATCCAGGGCTCAGTCTCATGGGCATGACATCACAACCTGAACTGAAATCAAGAGTAAGGCGCTTAACTGAGTCACCGAGGTGCCCCTACTGTGTTATCTATGAAAAGACTAGATACATCTGAAACAGCAAGAAAAAAATCACCAAGCATGCTCTGCTTCCTTTTAAAATCATTCTTATATGATAATTTTCAAGTAGGGTTTTTAGCCTCAACACTAGACCAGATAAGTCTTTTTGTGTGTGGCTTACCCTGAACTTTCTTGGATGTTTAGTGGTTCCCTGGTCTCTACCCACTAGATGCCAGGAGCATACCTCCCTCAGTTATAAGAGCTCAGTCATTGCCAAATGTCCCACAGGGGGGCAAAGTTGTTTTAAAAATGAGAACCACTGTTTAAAAGTACAATTTATGCCAAGACCATAATTGGCTTACGTACTTTACAAGAAGAAGCAACTTTCCTCCCACTTCATTTTACAAATTAGGCAGTTAGTAGTATTAGGAAGCTAGAATTGTCTAGTCAGGACTGCAGTTCTCCTGGTCATTAAGAAGAGAGAATGGTGGAAAAGGTCTTTTCTCATTCATTTTTAGTTAATATTATAGCTTCTTTGGGTTAAATATGTTTCATTCTCAGATTCATCAGATATTTCACTGTATCTGTGATGCGCATCAATAGTTATTTCTTGCCTGGAATACCCAGATAATTCATTAGAAAAATGATTTCTTTATATAAAAGATTAAGACTGTGAAACCAGGTCAATTATTTTTTGTTGCTCTTCATCTTTTTTAAAGAAACATGAGATGATTATATCTAAAATAATTATTCAATGTTTAGTTGATATTTCCATAATGTTTTATTAATACTACTGTATCTTTAAAAAGCTTTTTCTCTAAAATGTATTTTTAGGTGTATTCTCTGTAGCCTATTCAAGTTCCAAAGTAAAATAGTGGTAATATTAGTTTCATGTTATTTTCTCCCATATTATGACGATTTAAGCATTGCCGTATATACTTATTAGATGAGGGGCCTGGGTGGCTTTGTTGGCTGAGTGTCTGACTCTTGGTTTCAGTTCAGGTCATGATCTCACAGATCCTGGGTTTGAGCCCCATGTTGGTGTCTGTGCTGCTGGTATGCAGATTGCTTGGGATTCTCTCTCTTTGCCCCTCCCCCACTTGTGAGTGCACGAGCACACGCTCTCTCTCTGTCTCTCAAAATAAATAAACTTAAAAAAAATTTTTATGAGTCTTGCTCTCCATCACATTTATAACTCTTGAAGATTCTGTGTGCATGTTTTGTATCTCTACCCTCTTTTCCTAACAGCCATTTCATAAATACCTCATGGAGTCATCATTTAATGACTTGATTCAGGGAAGGTAGCTAGACTGAAAATAAAATTCAAAATACATTGCTCCTTGTGACTTAGTCTTATAGAGATATTGAGTTGGGGGGAGGGGTGGATACTAACCATTTAAATTCTAGATTAATAAATATATTTCAGTACCAAATGTTATATCCAGGACTACTAAGAGTCTAGGTAACCTTGATTTCTAGTTTGTTTCATTTGAAATCAATCAGTTTTGAGTACAATTTATTATGCTGTGGTTTCTGCAAAGTCTTTTGTAGAGTCCTGACTGTTTTTGCATATTTATATTATTGTATATTCTAAAACCTTTATACTTGCAATATTCAAATTAAACTTGAAGTATAGATGATAATTATAGGAGATGATTGTTTCATAGAATTGTAATGGTCAATATCAGTTGATTAATAGCCCTAATAAAATTGGGTGAAATAGGATTCAACCCATTTGGAATTTGGTTTGCAACTTATTTGTATGTAAGAAACTTAGTAGTTGGTATGGAATCTTTGCTTCACTTTATTTTTTTATTAAATTTGAAATAAACTACTAATTTTGTTTCCATTTTTAGCTGTAGCGCCAGTTGTACCTGATTTAAGTAGCGACATTGATACAAGTAATTTTGATGACTTGGAAGAAGATAAAGGAGATGAAGAAACATTCCCTATACCTAAAGCTTTTGTTGGCAATCAGTTACCTTTTGTAGGATTTACGTATTACAGCAATCGTAGGTAAGTATGCTAAACATTGATTTTAGGGGTAAGTACTAATTTTGTAGTCTATTATTTTCTTAGGGATATCTTAAAGTCACTTTAAGAACATTTAATGGTATATGAAGAGATATCTTAATATGCCATTTTTCAGTGATGTATGATACTTGTATTATTCCATATTTCATTTCTTTTAGACTCATCCATGATCAGGATATTGTGTTTCAGAAATCATTTACTGAATGATGCACTATATATGTGTTAAAGTTACAGCAATTGGGGCGCCTGGGTGGCTCAGTCGGTTAAGCGGCCGACTTCGGCTCAGGTCATGATCTCGTGGTCCGTGAGTTCGAGCCCCGCGTCGGGCTCTGTGCTGACAGCTCAGAGCCTGGAGCCTGTTTCAGATTCTGTGTCTCCCTCTCTCTGACCCTACCCCATTCATGCTCTGTCTCTCTCTGTCTCAAAAATAAATAAACGTTAAAAAAAAAAAAAGTTACAGTAATTAATAAAAGATTCTATTAATACTTATATTTTAGTTAATCTTGTTATCCAAAGAATTCTGGTTTTATGATACACTTTGGAAGAACATATAGTTTTCTAGCATTATCATCACTATATTGATGTTACAAAGGCCTGTAAGCTTTAGTAATTCAAAAATTAAGTGATCCCTCCCCAGAAACCACTAAATGAATTCACCATATCTTACAGAATTTAGACCTTGTGACCTTGGGCAAATAACTTCAACCTTTTGTGCTTCCATTTTCTCAAAAATAGGGATGGTGATGATGATGATGACGATGATACTTGTCTCATAGGATTATTGTAAGGGTTCATTATATCAATACAGTAGAACAGAACAATGCTTTGCATGGAATAAGCACTCAGTGTTAGCTGTTATTAGTATGAGCTAATGTTAGCTTTAGTCTTCAAATCGATATGAGAAACAAATTAAACATTTAACATAATTTCAGTATGTTGAGCATTCATTCATTCATTCAAACATATTTGCCAACTTATTTTTTGTCAGGGAGAAAAAGATGAATAAGCACGCAGGGAGAAAGATGAATAAGATATAGTTATTAGTACCTTCTCTTAAGATGCTCGTACACTAGTGAGGAAATGGATATATTTTCAAGTGTAGCATTTTGTCATTTTAGTCAAAACTTTTTTATAAGACCCTATTCAGGCCAAGTTTAGAAAACAGGAAGGCAGATTAGTCCTGCCTTATGAGATTTCTCCAATAATACAACTGTAAGATAGTACTGAACACTTTTTGTTGTATCACCAACCAGGCAGGTAGTACTTGACTTTGATTCTAAGAAAAGTCCAGTATTTTAATCCTTTTCCCACAATATTCGTGAATATGACATTGTAGCTATTTTATATTGAAATACACAGAGGAAAAAAAAATACACAGACAAGTTTTTCAGAGTGGTTTTTGCTAAAGAGTTCTTTCTTTCTGTCTTCCTGTCTATATTTTTGTACCTTTTATCAGTTATCCTCTGGCTTGCTTTCTGAACAGTTGTAATGTTGATATAAACACCCCCCCCCCAGTGTTTTTGGATTTTATGTAGTTATATCAGTTAATCACTTTTTTTAGGTTTATTGATATAAAAGTAATCTTGAATTAAATAAACATTATACATACTATTTGTAGTACATTGTCACATACTTGATTATGTTCTCTAGTTTTTCCTGGCATCCATATGTTGCATATTCCAAACTAATTTCTGAGTTTCTCAAAAACAGAAATTGTACTCTGTTCTTCAGTACCACCACTTTATTGCATAATATAGTGTTGTTTAGTAATTGTTTATAACATGGTCGAAGGTGTGGTTGATCTTAAAGAATCAGCAAAATACTGATTAGCCTTAGTATAAAATGTAAGTATAATTTGAGTTATTGGCATGAAATAGAAAACTTCTGAAATTCTTACTCCTGAAATCCAAACATACTTTCAGTTACCAAGGGTAGAGATCTTTATTGCTGAAATACAGCAAAATGAACAAAGATTGTTAATAGTCTAAAGGTTAAACTTCTAGCTACATTTGTAATAATCTAAAACCTCTCATAAAGAGCTATCTAAATGACCAGATTCTATATGAAAGCAACAATGTAATATACAAAAGATCTTTGGGGGTGGGGGGGAGAGAGTGAAAGAATGAATGGATGCGTACATTTGGTGTCCTTAATTTCCAGTGCTGCATTTTGAGAAAGTTATATTATTAACTTTGCAGAGGCTAAATATTAACTTCAACTTATATAGCATATTAAAATTTAGAAGATCTCTTAGAAAATGGTCTGATTTCCTATCTAATTCAGATTCTACTGGCATTGCCATATGCTTTTATTTACATCACATAATGTGGAATCTCACACTGAATTTCTGAGACAGTAGTTAATGGAATGAAATTGTACTACATCTAGAATTTGTCATTTGTTACATGAGACCTTTTTTCTACAAACCTGCTACACAGTGCCTAAAAACTGTCTTCCGATTATTTTATTCTCTAGTTGATCTGAATAATTTTCCAAGGAAAACATAAAAATGGCATATTTTCCTTTTTTTTTTTTAGAACACTCTTAAAGGAACTTATCTTCTGTTTTTTACTAGTAGTGAATATGTAGTGCATTATCAGTTGCCCTAAAACAGCTAGGAAGTATATGGAGCTATTTGATACCTTTTTGAGAGTGTTCTACTGATTGACCACGGTGGCAACTATAGTGGTGGTGATGGTAGAAGTATTAATAGTGGTAGTTGTAGCATGGTAGAGGAAGTAGCAGAAGCAGTAGAAAAGGCAGCACTAGTACCTTACCTTTATATAACATTTGAGAGCTTAGAAAATCTTTTCCATATGATCTATTTAGATGTGTTTAAAAATCTCATAAGATATCTAAAGACTTCTAAAGATCACTACTATCTTATATGTTACCTACCTTTATAGTGAATATAAAGCCTTGGAGTCTCAAAAGGTTAGCAAGACATCACCAGAACTTAGGTTATGTTAACTGTTTAGGCAAAAGTTCTTTTTTTGCCCAGAAAGGCAATATCATTCTTGGCTGAAGAGTAATTTGGGGCAGAGAGAAAAGCTGTGCACATTTCTGTAGAAATCAACAATTCCTTATCCCCAATCCCTATTGCAAAAAGCTCTAAAAACTTTAAATACTTTAGTGATTTGTTTGGTGGCAAAAGCTGCCATAGCCTGCTCTCATGGCCGAAAACCTAATCTGAACTAACTCGAGACTATTTATAGTTTTTATTTATCCTACTTGGTACGAATAGTCATATGTGTGGCTGCAGGGATAGTAAGGTATATAATTACAGAGTGCTGCTCTGACCTAACTGGGGGTTTTATTTAATGTATGTATCACTTTTATACATATGTATCTTTACATAAAATCTTTATATAAAATAAGGAGTCATGAACTTGTACTCAATTTTTCAAAAGCAGAACAAGCACAATACTAAACCAAAAAATAAGTATGTAGTATATGTTACCGGTTATTGAATATTGAAGAGGTTTTTGGTTCTTTTAGTTCTAAAAACTCTTTTTCTCTCAGATACTTATCTTCAGCAAATCCTAATGATAACCGAAGTAGCCCCAATGTGGATAAAAGCTTGGTAGGTATTTTTTTCTTATTTTTTAAAAAGTTATTTTGTGGACAGTGTGTTTTGTGTGCATGATATTAAGTAAACATTAAGTAAGTAAACATATTTCTTTTGATTGTGCAGTTAGTGAACTTAAATTTTGATAGTATTTTTTAACCTACTATCTCCTTCCAATTTGATTTCTTGCCTGAATATCAAATGGGATATTTTTTGTGGAGATAATTAATAAACTATAAATTGCTACACAAATTGACAGTGGCAGTCTTTCTAATCTTTAGAATTAGGAATTTATGGTAAATCAAGGTATCAGTACGGGTCTTGACAAGAAAACAGGTAACATAAACAAAAGACTTAACTAAAGAGAGTGTTGTATATATGATGAAATATACATAACATAAAATGTACCATTTTAGCCATTTTTAGGTGTATAGTTCTGTGGTAATGGGGGCGCCTGGGTGGTTCAGTCGGTTAAGCGTCTGACTTCGGCTTAGGTCATGCTCTTACGGTTTGTGGGTTCAAGCTCTGTGTCAGGCTCTGTGCTGATAGCTCAGAGCCTGGAGCCTGCTTTGGATTCTGTGTCTCCCTCTCTCTCTGCCCCTCTCCCACTTGTGCTCTGTCTCTCCCAAAAATAAATTTAAAAACATTAAAAAAAACCACCTTCACATTGTTTTCTACCACCATCTATCTCCAGAATTTTTCTTCATCCCAAACTAAAACTTTGTGCACATTAAACTCTTTATTCCACTACCCCCAGCCCTGAGTAATCACTGTCCTACTTTCTCTGTCTGTATGAATTTGACTATTCTAGACACCTCATGTAAGTGGAATCGTACAATATTTGACTTTTTGTGATTGGGTTATTTCACTTAGCCATGGTTTCTCCATGTTGTAACATGTTTCAGAATTTGATTCCTTTTTAAGGCTGAATATATCACATTCTGTGTATATACCACATTTTGTTCGTTCATTAAAAGAGAGTTTAGTGAAAGGACTATTTACAGTGCCATGAGCAGGGTCAAGAGGAGCAATAAATAAAGGCTGTGAAAATACCCATTGATCAACAATAGTGGGAAACTATTGTCCCTAGTTTGAAAGGACAGGGAGAGACAGGTATTGTTGCCATAGTTCAGAAAAACCTAGCATCATCAAAGAGGAACATAGAATGTAGAACACTGCTATCACTACAGTAAGGCAATAAAAAGGTGGGGAGAAAGAACACTTTCATTATCCCACCTTTTGATTTCCTACTGGTGTCTCCCATTTATTAAAGTAGAACAGTAAACCCAGGTAATGCAGTCTATAGATTTCAAGCCAAAGGAAGGATTGATTTCAAGGAGCATGGATTTCATGGCTAGAAAAGAGAGAAAGCAAATGGGAGAATAACCAGTATAGTCAGCACCATCTAATTTGTCCACTGAAAATTACTGTTATAAGTAATTATTAGAGACAGGAGTCCTTTTTATTGTCCATTTAGCTCATGTTCATGGGACAGAGGTTAAAAAATCTTACTTAGATTTGAGAAGGTCCTTTAGAGTTGACCAAGACTTTTCTTAAAAATACTAAAAACAGTTGGGGCACCTGGTTGGCTCAGTTGGTAGAGCATGAGACTCTCAATCTTGGGGTCTTGAGGTCAAGCCCCATGTTGGGCATAGAGCTTACTTAAAAAAATATGTTAGAAATAATTATTTGGCCATCCTTGGAGAGTTCTTTGAACTCTGTGTATTGTGGCCTACATATTATTAACTGAGGAGGGGACTGTAAGTAGCAATCATGTTTTAAAAGCTGATGTAATTCTCTTGCTTCTTAATATATTTACTCTTAAATGTAAGATTGAACAGGTGATGTGAAGGGAAAGTGGAAAAAGGGAGAGTGAACTGTGTGAGTACCTGTTAGCTGTTTTGACCATCTATGTCTTTAAAAAAAAATTTTTTTTTAACGTTTATTTATTTTTGAGACAGAGACAGAGCATGAAGGGGGGAGGGGCAGAGAGAGAAGGAGACACAGAATCGGAAGCAGGCTCCAGGCTCTGAGCCATCAGCCCAGAGCCTGACGTGGGGCTCGAACTCACGGACCGCAAGATCGTGACCTGAGCTGAAGTCGGACGCTTAACCGACTGTGCCACCCAGGCGCCCCATTGACCATCTATGTCTTTTAAATTCTCATCCTATTAGAGCTATTCAAGTTACATAGTTAACAACGGCTCAGAAATCTTTAAAGTTAAAGAATCTTTGACCTAGGGAATGTGACAATAAGGCGCTGCTGTAACCCAGCTCTCACTTATTACTTATCTGTGGGATTAGTGGTACATCGGGCTTCAAAGAATATTTAGTGGAATTGTGTTTTCTTTGGGCTGATATTGTTCAATGGTGATTGCCAGAAGTTTCTGTCGTTGGCTGCTGCTACCTTTTATCTTTTGCTCTGGTAAGAAAGATCACAGGGGAAGAAAAAAAATTTGATATGCCTACTATTTCTGTTAACAGCTAAATACAAAAGTCACCTGATGTAATTTTCAACTCTTCCTTGAAAGCCTTCCAGCAAATGCTAATGAACAGCTTTGCAATTGACAAATATAATGAATAATTTTCATTCCTATCTTATTTTTCTTTTTTGCTGCAAATGACACTGATTAATCAGTTCCTCCTTCTTTGAACTTTTGTAACCCTTTCATGTTCCCCTTCTTTCTTTTTTTCTTCCCACCTGTGTAGATTTTATTTTCCATCCCTTTGGCAGGATCTCTTCCCCCTTCTCCTCTTCTCTCCTCTTCTTCTCTCCCTCCCCTTTAATTATTAAATGTTTCTCAGGATGATTCTGATCTTGGCTCTCTGCTCATTTTTTGTAGGTAATCTCGTGTGTGCAGCTTGCTCCTCTGAACTCCAAAGCTGTATCTCTCTTGTCTGTCTCTCTCTCTTTTCTCTCTCCTCGCCTCTTCCTCTCTCTCTCTCTCTCTCTCTCTCTCTCTCTCTCTCTCTCTGATTGGATTTCCTTTTCTGTCCTTCTGTCAGGCACAAGCACTTCATCCTATGCCAGAGCTAAACTCATCCTCTCTCTGTCCCCTCCCAAGCAGCTCTTATGTGTTCCATATCTTTTGTAATGGTACTCTGTTCTTTCTCTGTCTCTCTTTCTTTCTCTTTTTTTCTTTCTTTCTTTCTTTCTTTCTTTCTTTCTTTCTTTCTTTCTTTCTTTCTTTCTCTTCTGTTGACATTTTTTTTCAGAATCCCACTTTTTAATTTTTTAATTAGTTTTGAAAAACATTTATTTTTGAGACAGAGGGAGAATGAACAGAGGAGGGGCAGAGAGAGAGGGGGACAGAGCATCCGAAGGAAGCTCTGTGCTGACAGCAGAAAGCGTAATCTGGGGCTTGAACTCATGAACCATGAGATCATGACCTGAGCCCAAGTCAGATGCTTAACCGACTGAGCCACCCAGGTGCCCCATCCCACTTTGATTTTTAAAACATTTGTATTATTGAAGTACAGTTGACCTACAATGATACATAAGTTTCAGGTGTACAATATAGTGACTTGACAATTCTATACATTACTCGATGCTCACTATAATAAGTGTAGTTACCAACTGTCATCATACATGTTATTATGTTATTGACTATTCCCTATGCTGTACTTTTTTGTCTCTTATTTTTAATCAGTTATTAGGTTAATTCTGCCTTCTGAATGACACAGTTATCCATTTCCTCCTCTTTATTCCTACAGCCTCTGCCTCATATCAAACCTATATGCTTTTTTGCTTGAACTGTCTCGAAAGCCTGTTAACTGGTTACTTTGAGTAGAATTTCTCTTCCCTCTATTCTTTTCACCTTATTGTTACTGAAGTGGCATTTCTAAAATGCAGAAACTAATAATAATGATAATAATAATGTTGCCTAGGTGACTCTGTCAGTTGGGTGTCCAGCTTTTGATGTCAGCTCAGGTCATGGCCCTAAGGTTGTGGGATTGGGCCCTATGCTCAACGTAGAGCGTACTTGAGATTTTCTCTCTCTGTCTCTCTCTCTCTCTCTCTCTCTCTCTCTCTCTCTCTCTCTGTCTTCCCCCCCACCGTCTCTCTCTGTCCCCCTCCCCCTGCTCCTCTCCCCCACTTGCATTCTCTCTGTCTCTCTAAAGTAAAATGCAGATACTATATTGTTTCCCTTTTTAAAATGCTTGTAGGTTAAAGTCCCTAACTCCTATTTTTGCATACAAGAATCATGGCCTCACTCACCTTTTCAGATTTTATGTGACTCATTCAGTCTGTTCTGGGCTCTGCCTATATTTGATTTCTTCCCATTTCCAAAATATATCATGTTTTCTTTTACCTCTCTACTTTTGGACTCATTCATTCTGGCTAAAATGCCTTTCTTCTACCACCTTTTCTGCTTAGTAAATATCTCTCATATTTTAAGTCTCATTTCAAACATTACATTTTCATGGCAGAATTAGACATGACCTCTTCCCTCCTTTGGAACACCTCATATATAACTTTATCATCACTACATTATATTGTAATATTTGTGTGTATGTCTTTGGATTATTGTAGGTTCTTTTCATCCTCCTATTCTTCTGTGCCCCTCTGTTTAACTCTTAGCTTCATAAGCACAGGGACCAAATCTTTTTAATTTTTTGTATTACTAATGTCTACCACAGTGCCTGACATATTTGTAGGTGTTGAAAAAATGCTTATTAAATTAATAATAAATTCAGATTGAAAGGAAAGGGGTAAGATTGAACCAAATAATTTATTCTTGAGTAGGTATAGAATAACATAAACTTGTTATTTTTAAGTTCTCTATGAATATTCTTGTAGGATGAGTTTTGTTTTGTTTTTGATTAAAGCAGGAAAATTTGCAAAAAACAATTTATAAGCTGGAAGAACAACTGCATAATGAAATGCAATTAAAAGATGAAATGGAGCAGAAGTGCAGGTGAGAATATACTTTGTATGTTTTTAACATTAAAGGTTGTACAGCAAATACTTTTTTTTAAAACTTGCCTTCTATAAAACAGTTGAAAATTAATTGGAAATAAGATGGCGATATACAGTTACTGCTTATGTACATTCAGTGAAGAATGTCTTGCCTAGAATTGGAAAGTAGTATTTATGTTGGCATTAGTTATAGACATATTGTCCTCAGAATATTTAAAGTGTATTTGTTCCTGGAAGTCTTTATTAAAAAACTATAGTGCCTATTCACTTAGTGCTTGATTTATTACTTTTTTCCTCCCATTTTAATTAGCTGACTGAAAAGGCAAATTAGATTACATTAAATGAGGTGCTTTTTAAAATGTAAATGTTAAATATTAAAATTCACTAAATCTAATAAGAGCCTGTATATTTATGAAATATGTAATGATGAATATTTAAAATAACCTGGCACAATGCTGAGTTACTTATTAACTACAAACAATAACTTTATATTTTTTGTGGAAACTATTGAATAAATAAGTAACACATTCAACAATAGGTAACATTCAACAAATGGCATTGGAAAACTGGCATTTTTGTGATTGGGCCAAAGAGGAAACAAGTAAAACTCTTATTGCATACCATTCCTGATAGACTAAATACATTAGTATATAGTGCAAACTTTTTTCAGAAAAGCACTTACATATTAGGAGATAATTAACTGATCTCAGGATTTGGGAGGAATTTCTAAGTATAAAATATGGAAGTGCATAAATGTTGAGAAGTTTCTGCATCCAAAATTAAACTAATGATAGTGGCAATGGAAATCAATTTGAGGAAGTAATAGGAATGGCCAAAGTGGTCTGTAATGATAGGAAAATGTTAGAGAAGAGGAATGGGGGTGGAAAGATAAACAGAATGTAGATCTTGGTGGTCTTTGTTTTTAAATTTTTTTTTTTTTCAACGTTTATTTATTTTTGGGACAGAGAGAGACAGAGCATGAATGGGGGAGGGGCAGAGAGAGAGGGAGACACAGAATCGGAAACAGGCTCCAGGCTCTGAGCCATCAGCCCAGAGCCCGATGCGGGGCTCGAACTCACGGACCGCGAGATCGTGACCTGGTTGAAGTCGGACACTCAACCGACTGCGCCACCCAGGCGCCCCGGTGGTCTTTGTTTTTAACAAGCTAAGAAATTTGGAACTTATTCTAAGATGATGGAAAAACATTGAAAGTTATTAAGCTTAAAAAATTGATCAAATTTGCTTTTTAAAAAGAACACTCTAGTTAGTTGGCAGCACTTGACATTTATTCAACTAAATGGGAATGAAGGAGGAAGATGAGTCAAGGATGGTTCCTAGGTCATGTCCTTTCTTAGGGACACTTACAGTAGGAAGAAATTAATATTATAGGTAAGAGTGTGGAGCAGAGGAAGTAACATTTTGGGCGTGCTGAGTGACGTATTTGATGAAACATACATGTGAAACATTGCATATGCAGATTTGAAGCTCAGAATTCTGTTCAGAGCCAAAGAAAACAAAATGTGATGGAGATAATACACTCTTAGTTTATCTCAACTTTTCACCTTACTTGTTAAGTGGTATATTTACTGATCCATATATGCCACCTTTCTCTTCACTATGTAATCTTGTATAAAGGTTAAGTGGCTAATTTTTGTTTATTAGCAAGTATTGCATTAGGAAGTTCAGGGATCCTTAACCTGGAATCCATAGGGTCCGTCCCACAAAGGGTCCATGGATGAATTCAAGGTCCTTAAACTTGGATGAGAAAAAGTATTTTCCCTAACTTATAACTGATATTCAACATTTCCTTCCACTATGAACAAAAGCAGTAATCTACATCTATTAGCAGTAGCTGAATTTTTTTATTACTAATAGATACTACAAATATTTTTATTTATTATAGTTATCTCTATCATTTGTGCTCATCACTACTTTGAAATTACTGCTGCTAGATCTTGTGATTTAATATATTAATAAAGAAGCCACACATATTCCTGAAACACATTTTTTTTAAAAAGACTATATTTAATATATTTTCGGCTTTTTTAATCCTTTTTTGCTTTAAAATATATTATTCTGAGAAAAACCCACAGGCTTTACCAGAGTGCCAAAGGGGATCCACAGCACAAAAACAGTTAAGACATCTTAGTTAAACAGAAAAGTAAAGAATGTGGTGTTGCACCCCTGAGCAATAAAAAGATAAACATATTTCTAATCTATATTGCTTTTGTTTTTACAGAACTTCAAACATAAAACTAGACAAGATAATGAAAGAATTGGATGAAGAGGTACTTTTGTTTTCTAATCAGAAGTTTCCCTGTTTGAGAGTTTTTCCTCTTTCAGATTGTTTTGTTTTCTAAGAAAATTGCATTGGAACTTTATAGGTTTAAATACAGAACAAAGTCAGAGAACTATGATGAAAGCCTCACTTTGGAGCTGTAGGTTCAAGTGATACAGATTAGATTAAACTTCAGTTTCCTTTGTGTAGTTTTATGCTAGAACCATGTTGAAATCTTAGTACATAAATTTCATTTCAGTTGTTCTTACTTAACATTTAAAAAGTGAGAAAAGAGAATCAAATGGGATCCGAACTACATCAGAAAGAGACCGACAAATAGGAAGGAGGAAAGAATACAATTTAAAAAGGACTGACATTAACATAAGTTTATGTGATCAAATGAGTAATATATTGATTTTAGAATCATTCATGTTTTGTATGGTCGCCTAGCAAGAAGTTTTTGTTATCAGGGAAAAATTTCATGATTCAGATGTTTGTTTGCAAATATATAATACATTGTCATTCCTTTTGATAAGCTTATAGATATCTTTCTACTCTGTGTATAAAGAGTACCCTTCAAAGAAATATACTTTCTATGGCCTTCTTATTGATTACTTCCTTTGTTGTTGTTGTTTTGTTTTTGGGGTTTTTTTTGGTTTTTTTTAGTTAATCTTTCTAGTGGTTTTTGTGCTATCTTAATTTTCTCTTGAGGAATAGTATCTGTCAGGTTTTTTTTTTCATTTGTAGCTTTGTATATGCATATTTATGTAATACATATACATGTTATGCATATATGTATAATATTTTGCCAACTTGCCATTGGTCAGTGTATAATTAGTACTATTTATTTAAGTCTCTTTAAGAAATCCATTTTGCAAATCCTCAGCTTTGGGTATTTCATTTCTAAAAAACAGGTAAAATTCAAGTATGCTAAGTTTAAGATCAGTCCACTAAGAAAATAATAGTATTCATAAATTTGTATCTACCAAACAGACCTACAAAATATGTGAAGTAAAAGCCAATAAAACTGAAAAGATGAATAGACAGATCCATTATTATCGTTGGAGACTTCAATATCTATCACTCTCTAGACAGAGAATCCACAAACCTATAGGAAAGCTCAACCACACCATCAACCAACAAGATATGTTTAACATTTGTAAAATCCTCTGCCTGACAACAGCAAAATATACATTCTTTTCAAGCATTCAAGGAATACATACCAACATAGACCATATCCTGAGCAAACTTCTGCAAAAAAAAAAAAAAATTAAAATTATACAGAATGTGTTCTCTGGCCAAAATGTAATCAAACTAGAATGACTAATATATCAAGCAATTCTGCAAACATATGGAAACTAAACAACACAGTTCTAACTAATCCATAGGTCAAAGAATACTTCTAAACGGGAATGAAAGGTTATGTTGGAATGTTAATTACATCTCATTACATTAGAGTTATGGCTCTTATTAAAAAAAAATGAAGTCTTGCCATTTGCAACAACCTATATGGGCCCAGAGGGTTATATGCTAAGTGAAATAAGACGGGCAGAGAAAGACAGTTACCATATAATTTCACTTATATATGGAATCTGGAAAACAAACAAAAAAACAGACTCAAATACAGAGAACAAACTGATGGTTGCTGGTGATATGGGTAAAATTGGTGAAGAGGTGCAAACTTCTAGTTACAAAATCATGGAGATGAAATGCACAGCATAGGAAATATAGTCAGTAATATTGTAATAACATTGTATGGTGACTATACTTACATGGTGAGCAGTTTTTTTACTATCCATGGAGTAATGGATAGAACTGTCATATCACTGTGCTGTACACCTGAAACTAATATAACATTGTGTGTCAACTATACAATAATAAAATAAGTTATGGCTCTTCATCTTTAAAAAAAATTTGAACAATGAAAATGAAAATAGAACATCAAAATTTGTGGGATGCAGCTAACACAGTGTTCTAAGATAAATTTATGCAGTAAAGGCATACATTAGAAAAGACGAAAAATCTCAAATCAGTCATCTAAGCACCTACCTCAAGAACTTAGAAGAGTAAAATCAAAGCAAAAAGAAGGGAAGAGAAATAAAGATAAGAGTAGAGATCAGTGGAATTGAAAATAGAAAAACAATAGAGAAAATCAATGAAAACAGAAAGCCAGCTATTTGGAAAATTGACAGACCTTTAGCAATATTGATAAAGGAAAAAGAGGACACAAATGATCAGTATCAGGAATAAAACAGGGCAAGCATATCACTATAGTCCCTCCAGATACCAAAAGGATCATAAAGGAATACTATAAACAATTCTAAACATGTAAGTGTGAAATCTAGGTGGAATGTAATAAATCTGCCAAAAATACAAATTACCACAACTCACACAACGTGAAATAGATTAGTTGAGTAGTCCTATATAACTATTAAAGTGAATTCATAATTTAAAAGTTTCCCAAAAAGTAATCTTCCAGGACCAGGTGGTTTTACTAGACAGTTCCACCAAATGTTTTAAAAAGAATTAATACCTATTCTACACTATCTCTTCCAGAAAATATAAGAGAAGGGAACATTCCCCAGTGAGTTTTATGAGACTAGAATTACCCAGATGACAAAATCTAACAAAGACAGTACTACGAAGAAAATCATAAATCAGTTTCTCTCATTTACAGCCAACTGATTTTTTTACAAAGGTGTAAAAGCAATTTAATGGAGGGAAGAGTCTTTTTTTAACAAGTGGTGCTGGAGCAATTAGATATTCATAGACCAAGACATGAACCTCAACTTAAGTCTCATACTTTATGCAAAAATTAATTCAAGATGGGTCATATTTAAAGGTAAACATGAAAATATAAAACTTTTAGGAAAAAAAAATAAGTGAAAACCCTAGGGACCTACAGCTTGGTGAAAAGTTCTTAGACATGACACCACAAACATGATCCACATGAGGAAAAATATTCAACAATTTGGACTTCATGAGAATTAACAATATTTGTTCTGTGAAAGAACATGATAAGAGGATGAAATGACAAGAAATAGATTGGGAAAAAATATTTGCAAACTATGTATATCACAAAGGACTCTATCTAGAATAAAGAACTCTAAAGCTCAGCAGTTGAATAAACAAATAATCTCATTTGAAAATTGGCAGAAGACATGTCACTTATCAGAGTGAATGACAAACACATGAAGAGATGCTCAACATCATTAGCCATGAGGGAAATGCAAATTAAAACTACCATGAGAAATCACTTTATAATCATTAGAGCAAGTAAAATAAAAAATAGCATCAACACCAAAACTGGCAAGAATATAGAAAAACTATCACTCATGCATTGCAAATGGGAATTTAAAATTGTACAGCCAATCTGGAAAATACTGCTGCAGTTTCCTAAAATACTAAGCATGCATCTACCAGGCGACCCAGCAATTGCACTTGTGGGCATTTATCCTAGAAA